AACACTTTGATTTTAGAGGAGATCTGGAAAAACCCTTCTTTCTGGATGTGGCTCACAATAATCTTCAGACTTGTGCCTCTTTGTGTCAACTTGTACACGTATAGTGTTTGGATTGTGACTATGGAACTTATCGTCCAAATTCTGCACTTCACCCGCCTTTTTCTAACGATCCTGTGCTATCTGTCGATGATTTACTTTCAGCTTTTCCATGGCAAAGAGGTGATAATGTTAGCCAACCACTATCTTCGCATCGTTCGACAAGTAAGATCCTTGTTTATAAAAAACACAACTGGATTCGGAGGCGGACGGGAACTACTGTTGATTCTTATTTCTATCTGCTGTCAACTCTTAGAATTCGCGAATATGTTGGGATTAATGCAATGGCACTCCAATTTAGGTGATATCACCTATAATATCATCTCGTGGGCATCCTTTTCTTATTCTTGCTTTGCCAGTGATATGATCATTCACATCAGCTTTATTTGGTACATTAGCTTAGGTGTTCTCTGTTCCGATTTAAATAAAAATATCCGTTTTGAGACCATGAATCATCAAAGAAATGTGACTCCAAGACTGACTGAAATTATAAATATTTTCAGGGAGATTTCTTACGTAGTGACTTCGTTGCAAAGGCTCTTAAATGTTCCCCTATTTTTAGGCCTGATCCATTCACTTTTCTTTATAGTCGTTATATCTTACAATATAATAATTAATTTGCATTTCTTTGATTTTTGGATATGGTCTATTTTCGTGAAGGTTCTGATTGATTTCATAATTTTTTGTTTGGCTGTTCATGAAACATCTAATCAGTTTAGATGCGTTCGAGAACTCACTCTTGACGTTTTTTTGCTGGACGAATTTGAAGAGTTAAACGAAACGGTAAGTAGTGTTTTTATTTGAAGTCTTACACTAATTTATTTTATTTTTCTTTTGACTTTAGGTCGAAATATTTGTCACCCATCTAAATCTAAACGAGTTCAAGGTCCCACTCATGGGATTTTGTGATGTTTCCAACGAACTATGCCTTAAAATTGTATCTGGAATTATAAGCTATCTTCTTTTCGTCATTCAATGTGTAGTTAAGCTTCAAACATAATTCATAAAAATAATATAATGAATGTTTTATTCGAAGATAAAAGAGTTTTTTTTTCTGGTTAGTAAGATTAAAAATGATACCAGCACGTCCTTACCTTTAAACCTTTAAATTTGAAGGTTGTTTTATCTCTTTCTTTTTATTTTATTATAGTCATATTAAAGGTCAAATGTCAATATTAAAATGCAGCTAACGATCTTATCGGGCGCAAGTTTTACTTGTCATTAACCAAATGCACCATGGTTTCTATCTTGTAAAGAAATTGTAATGTAAATTTAAATGTTTAACAAACAAACGACAAATCTAGATATATCAAGTCCCTTTTTAAACCTTTAATCCTAATTAATACGAGCTATGTAAATTAGTAAGCAATTAAAAACTTTCCATAGTGAACAAATTTATGAAATGATTGAATTATTGATTAATTGTTTTTTTTATTCGAGCCCCAGGAAATATTTTATTATGGTTTTATCTATCATCAACTTGGAAAGGCATTCACACGCCCACTTGTCACTTCAAAGGTAAGGTGCCATTAACTAAATGCACTTGGAAGGAGTTCAATTTTCACAAATATTTTTTTAATTTCGATCGGGTTTCAACGCAAACAAGTCCAAGTCTCGATGATGGTTGCATCTAAACTATCCGCCGGAATTATTCGCTGCATGTTTCTGTACGCCAGATGCATTGGTGTTATCTGCTTCCGATTTGGGAACCCGAAAGATAAAGTTAGAGTCATCGAGGAATCTTGGAGCAGTCGTCCTTGGTGGAAGTGGCTTACGCTTATCCTGCGACTTGTGCCTCTCTGCACGTATGTTTATACCTACGCAACGTGGATCTCGAGCAGAATGGTATTCGTCGACCAGCTACTGCAATTGACAAGCCTTGTTCTTTCGATTCCCTGTTACACGTCCATGATTTACTTAAATATTTTTCATGGCCCAAATGTTTCTAAGTTGATCAACCGATACTTGGACATCTTTCGTCAAGTAAAACACCAGACTAACCGGAAGAAGGAATCATTTGGAGGCCAACGGGAGTTGATGCTGATCCTTGTTTGTCTTTGGTGTCAAATACAAGAAATAGTATTTTTGCTTGGACTATTTAATTGGGTCATCAGTCTAGAAAACATGATTGTGTTCGTCAGCCACACATATGTAATTGTTGCCAGTACCACAATTATTCGCATAAGTTTTTTTTGGTACCTTAGCTTGGGCGTTCTTTATACCAAATTAAATGAAAATATTCGAATGGAAAGTTTGATGAATAAACAACGACATTCAATGCCAAGCCACAAGATAAATAAAACCCAAAGATTAAAGAAAACTATGTCGCTTTTAAGGGAAATTTCTTATGTGGTCTCTTCATTGCAGAACATTTCCAATGCTCACCTATTTCTGAGCGAAGTCCAGATCCTTTTACAAATGGTCGTCATCTCTTTCAAAATGATAATCGATTTGAGGTTCTCTGATTTGCGGCTATGGATCTGGTTTGTTAAAATAACAATCGATCTGTTTATTTTAAGTTTGGCTACTCAAGAAGTAGCTAATCAATTTAGATCTCTTAGGGAACTTACTTTGGATATTTTCTTTGTCGACAAGTCCAAAGATTGGATGAAAACGGTGAGTAGATTTTTTAAACTGATTCATACGGCAGCTAATTAGGTTTTTCTTTTTCATTAGGTGGAAATATTTGTAACCCATTTAAACCTAAACAAGTTTAGGGTTCGTCCCTTTGGACTTTTTGACTTCTCCAACGAACAATTCCTGGTAATAGTTTCTGGAATAGTTAGCTATCTGGTTTTTATCGTTCAATGTGTAATGCAGTATCGCGTATATGCAAGCAAATAATCATTTCTTAACTTTATAAAATGTTTGTGTTGTAATTAATAACTGATGTCTATAAATTGAATGGTTAATATACAAAATATAAGCTATTAAATTTCCAATTTAATTAAATAAATGTTCCTCGAGTTTTTAACTTTAGGGAGATTATAATTTCCTTTAGGATATTATCGGGGCTAAGCTTAAGTTGCAATTAACCACATGCAACTCGAACACCATCGTTTAAATTTTTCTACTTTTTCCCATTCTAATCGAGAGTGAAAGCTAAACGGTCATGTTCGGTCAATTGAGTGCTTCTAAACTATCCGCCGCAATCCTGCGCTTAATTTTCCGCTACACCCAATTTATGGCTTTTCCTTTTATGGGCATCAAGAAAACTATGGACGGCGATAAAGCCTTCAATCGGAAATGGATCAGGTGGCATTTTGTTACCCATCGACTGATGACTCTCTGTGGGTTTATCTATTACTACGGATTGATCCTACTTTTGGAAGACCAATGCATCATGAAGATATGTCATGGAGTAAGACTTCTGGTGATCATCACCTGCCATTTGGTGTTTTTGGAATACCAGATTTTACGTGGCCCAAAAATTGTTCAACTGGTCAACTTGTTTCTTCGTCTTTTCCGCAAAGTAAGCCTCTTATTCAAGCCGAAGAAGTTTGGCTTTGGTGGCAAAAGAGAGTTGCAGATGATCCTAGTATATTTTCTCCTCCTCATTTATGAGGTATTACTTTTCTGGGTTGTGCAATCGAAGAGAATTTCAATAATACTACTAATAGAATGGTGGTGCTACATTTACATTGTCGCCGGCATTGGAATGTTCCTGCACATCAATTTTCTGGGCTATTTAAGCATGGGCCTTCTCTATTCCCAGCTAAATGAGTGGGTTCAAACAGAACTAAAGGAGCTTCACCTTCGAGGCAATCGTCAGCAAATAAGAAAAGTTCGAAGACAACTGAAGAAGTGCCTCTCTTACTACAGAGAACTTTATAAAATCAGCATTGCATTTCAAAGACTGTTCGAATTGCCCCTTTTTCTGGGACTAATGACTAATACTTCAACAGTAGCCATAATCGGTATTAGCTTGTTTACGAACTCTAAGTTAAAGATACCATTTTTTTGGATTGCTTTTGCCAAGCATGTTTTGGACCTACTTCTGCTGACCATATCTGTCCAAGGTGCAGTATCTCAGTTTGGGCTCATTCGATGGAACAGTTTGCATCTTTACAAGCTCAGGAAAATGAGGGAACTCGACGCTATGGTTAGTAAAATATTTCAATTTAAGTAGACTTACTATAAAATTCGTTAGAAAGTTTAAAGAAAGTTAACATAGATACTGTATTGTATCTACTTTTTATAGTACCGGTTTTTTTTTCTTATTGCAGATAGAGATTTTCTTCAACCATCTAAATTTGTGCCAGTTTCGGGTTAGCATATTCGGCCTCTTTGATGTTTCCAACGAATGGTTTTTAATGTACCTATCCGCCTACATTAATTGGATTGCTTTCACCGGCCAGTATGCACTGCAAATGGGAAAGTTATAATTTAGCTTATTCCAATAAAACAAAATAAATACAAGCAAAATTTGTAAATAAGTAACATTTAAATTGCATATTAAATATTTACTTAATAATAATTTTTATATTATATATTTATATATTAATATTTATTATTTAGTAAAAACTTTCAAAAAAGGTAATAGCATTTGAATTGCATATTAAATATTTACTTAATTATATTTTTGTATATTTATTATTGAGTAAAAACTTTCAAAGAGGTAATAGCATGTAAATTGCTTATTAAATATTTACTTAATTATATTTTTGTATATTTATTATTTAGTAAAAACTTTCAAAAAAGGTAATAGCTCTAATTGGTCATTTGAACGCATAATAGATTAATCAAAGTCAATGTTATTGTAGTACTTAATCAATTAAAGTCAAATCACAACATTTATGGCAACTAAATAAACAACCCGAAAGAGCCAACATCAAATCAAAAAGGGAGTGAGTGAAGAAAACCCTGAGCTATGAAGTATACTGGAAAAAAGACAACTTGCAGTCATGATTGGACGTCTTAAGAAGGTGAGCCTGCCAGCTCTCTCGGCGGTTATCCTGTTTTGCAGTTACCACTATGCCCGAGTCCTGGGAGTGATTTGCTTCAACATTGGTGAAAGGACCTCCGACAAGTCCTTGGTGGGTCGGAGTAACCACAGCTTCAAGTGGATCTGCCTGAGTTTGCGGCTCGTCTGTGCCACAGTGGTTTGTTGCTTCTGTGCCCCTCATGTCGCCGAAATCGAGGATCCTTACGAGTGGCTGCTGCAGTGGCTCCGTCTGTCCGCCAGTATCATGTGCTCCATCAGCATTGTGGTGGTTCAGATTGGCTTTGAAAAAGAACTGCTCCGGATTTTCAACAGTTTCCTTCGACTTTTCCGACGCCTTCGTCGCTTGTCGTCCCTGAAAAAGATTGGATTTGGAGGCCAACGGGAGTTCTTCATGCTACTGGTTAAATCCGTCTGTTTGGTCTACGAACTGTACTGTGAGTTGGGCCAACTGTGGTATTCACACAATTGGCTGGGGCTTGTTACCATGGTGTGTGAAATAATTCTGGAAATCGGTTCTCTGATGATCCTACATATTGGTTTCTTTGGATATCTCAGTGTGGCCGCCCTGTATTCCGAGGTAAATAGATTTGCCCGTGTTGAGTTGCGTCGCCAGCTGAGATCCTTGGAGCCTCCTGGCGGAGGTCCTGTGAGTCGACGTCGTCTAAGGATCGTTGAGAATCGTCTGGATGAGTGTATCTCTGTTTACGACGAAATCGAACGAGTGGGTCGCTCATTTCATCGCCTCTTCGAACTGCCAGTTCTTATAATTCTTGAAGGGAAATTATTTGCCACCATAGTTCTGTCCTACGAGGTGATCATTCGAGCGGAGCTTTATCCCAGCAAGATCGGAATGTGGGGTCTGGTGGTAAAAAGTTTTGCGGATGTGATACTGCTCACTTTGGCAGTTCATGAGGCGGTGAGTAGATCAAGAGATATGCGACGCTTAAGTTTGGAGAACTGTCCCATCAATGATTACAAGCAATGGCACATGAAGGTGAGCTATCTCTAGTGATCAGAAATTTTACCATATTAACTATTTCTGCCTCCCTTTTAGTGGGAAATGTTCTTAAGTCGCCTGAACTTCTTTGAATTCCGAGTCAGACCCTTGGGCTTGTTTGAGGTCTCCAACGAAGTGATCTTGTTATTTTTGTCCAGCATGATCACCTATTTTACTTATGTGGTGCAGTACGGAATTCAAACCAATCGATTGTGAATGCATCAAGAAATAATCGTATTAAAAAATGAATTAATTTTTATTACTAAGCTGTAACTCTGTATTTTGAGTTACAGTAAAGATATAAACATATTTTATTGTTTATTCAGTACTCTAAAAATAAACAATTTGTTAAATTTCATTATTTATTTACACTTACAACTTAAAACATAAATTAAATGATTAACTGAACTCTACTACATTGATCGATTGATCAGTTTTGTACTCATACTTTCTTAGTTTACATATTACACAATAATTTATTTTTCGCACTAATAAAAAGATAAGTCCAAAATAGTCCTTCTTTCTATTTAATGGATCTTTCTTCCTATGTATTTAATCAATAGTCACCGCTTCTAAACAATTAAATAGACTGTCTTGCTTGTCATTAGTGAAATTAAATATGAAATCCAGATATAAGTCAACAAGTGACTGGCTGCTCAGCCAATTGGCAAACTAATTACTTAATGGGTAAACAAATATATTGCTGGCTCTCACATTTTAGGTCTGTTAGTCATGACGCGAATACGGCGCTGTTTAAACGCTTCCAGGATATGTGGGCTTTTGCTTCGCAGTTGTTTTACATATGGAGTGGTCATGGTAGTGATTACCTTTCGAATCGAGAGAAAGGACTCGAACCTGGTGGCCAGAAATCGACGAGCATTCCGGTGGATCTGCATTGGTTTCCGACTTTTAGCCAGTTGTGTTTCTAGCTTCAGTTACGTCACATGGGTTGGCCAATTTACAAATTCGTATCTTCGGGCTTTTTTCATTCTTCGATTGTTGGGATTTCTAATATGCAGTGCCATTATCCTAGTGCTGCAGTTTTGGTTCAGCGAAGAGCTATTACATTTGGTCAACCGTTTTCTAGAGCTCTTTCGCCGGCTGAGAATTCTAACCAATTCTCAAAAAATGGTTTTGGTGGCAGTCATGAATTGACTTTGATGTCCTTGAAAGTGATCTCCTTATTTTTTGCATTCCTGGCTTTCCATTTCAAGTTCTCACCCATGGCCCTGCTTACTATGCTGTGTGATTTCTACACCTCCGTTGGCACTGGAATGATCATGCATCTGTGTTTTATTGGATACCTTAGCATTGGAGTTCTTTACAAGGACCTAAACAACTATGTGGACTGTCAATTGCGGGCCCAACTGACTTCTCTGAATGAAGGCAATGTTGGGGATAATCCCCAGCCAACGCTTGAAGCCATCTCCAATTTGGATAAGTGTTTATCCCTTTATGAGGATATTCACCAGGTGTCTCGGAGATTCCAGCGGCTCTTCGATTTGCCACTTTTTATCACCTTGGCCCAAAGTCTTTCGGGCATGGCCATGATTTTATACTTCTCCATCCTGCAGCGAAAATACATCTTCAAACTCTGGGGCTTGGTTATAAAACTTCTCATAGATGTGATCCTGCTGACCATGTCCGTTCATTCAGCTGTTAGTGGTTCTCGATTGGTCAAACGACTCGGTTTGGAGAACTTCTATGTGACGGAGGGCAAGAAGCACCATCAAAAGGTAAAAACTTAGAACTAACACAAGTAGGTCTTACTTCTTAATCTATAAAACCAAAAAAGTTTCATTTATGTTGTAAAAAAAAATTTATAAAAAAAAAAAAAAAAAAAAAAAAAATTAATAAAAAAAAATAAATAAATAAAATTAATAAAATAAAATTTAATAGCTTTAATAATAAGAAGAATTGTGCAAAAAATGATTTATTTGTTCACATATGTATGAATTTAGATTTTAAACTATGTACAGTCGAACTTCCATAACTGAAACCACTGAAACTGCCATCAAAATAATTTTGTGTTGTTAATACTTTGAGTTATATAATTGGTTTTCCTGAACTGTACTGTATATTGTACTATATATTGCCAGTCCAACTAGTTTTGGTTTCAAAGGGACTTCGAGTTAGGGAAGTTCAAGTTATGGAAGTTTGACTGTATGACCTATGACCTTGTTGATCCCAAATTTCCCTTATTTAACTTACAATTTTTCCAGTTGGAGCTTTTCCTGGGCCGCCTTCACCGCCAGGAACTGCGAGTGTGTCCTTTGGGCCTGTTCGAGGTCTCCAACGAGCTGACCCTGTACTTCCTCTCCGCGATGGTCACCTATCTGACCTTCCTGGTACAGTGCCGCATGCAGTTGCCGCAAATTTGATTCAACGTCACGCATTGCTTGCGGTATCGCACCCTCCCCAAAAAGACACCTGTACCACCTGCCCACCTGTCCACTGCGGTTGCACGCAAATAAAAACAATGAATAAAGAACGGAATTTACGAAAAAAAAAACCCCAGCTCAAATCGGCAGTTGCAGGACCCAATTCCCAATTTCCGGCTAACCGTTTGTTCCGCTGCAATGTTTGTTCCCATGAAAGTTGGTCGCGGCATTAATTAAACATTCATGCTGACGTCAAGCAGAAAATTTATGCAGCAACCCGATGGTAAAGGGACAGAGGGGGGCGGGGGGAGGGAGGAATCAGCGGACAGTTCGCGCTAAGAGGCGCATAAAAACAAGGCCGAGGCCGTCGCTCTAATTAGCATAGGTTAGGGTACAGAGCCGGTCCACTAAAAAGAAAAACCCATAAAGGTGCACTTGCCGCTGCACTTGTTCTTTGGATGTGGCAGGGTCAGAAAACAACAAAAAAACGGGGACAACAGAGCCCGCGAACGGCGGCGATAATAAAAAATCAAATTGCCCCAGAGCAAAGACCCAAGATGAGATGAACACCATTATCTCGGTAGTGAAAACTGGGAACGGAATAATGACCCGATCGGTTCTGCTCCTGCTCCTGCTGAGATTGTTCGCGTTTTACTGGAATTCTGGGGTGCCCTATCCTATATACCCTATGATGTGAAGAGCATGCTGGATTCCAAAAGATTTTTGTAACAAAAGGAGTTTTTCTTACATGAAAATTAAATATATCCTTTAAAATTGTAATTACATGGTTCTTTTTATTACAAACGATTACTTAATATTTATTATTTAATTTAATATTATTTATAGCTTAATTTAAATCTTAACTTCAAAAATGCTTACATGATTTTCTTAATTTCGTTGCATATTCTTTAAAGCAAAAACTGATCTGAAGAGTATGCTGGATTCCAAAAGATATTTGTAACAAAAGGAGTTTTACTTACATTTAAATTACATATTTCTTAAAATTTATTTGTAATTACATGCATTTTTATTACAAACAAATACTTGATTTTAAGGGTTATAAATTTAATCCTTACTTAAAAATTGTTTATATTAGATCCAAAGAAAAAGTATTGATTAAATGACAATTCTTAAAATATCAAATTTTTAAAGTTTCTGAAGATATAATGTTAGCAAATTATATTCCTTTATTACTCACTTGTACGGCCGTAAAACTAATTATTATATTTTGTAATTTCTGAACTGCTGTTTAGGTGTTTTTCAATAGTACAATAGTGTATACGATTAGTTCTTATTTTCGTGTTTCTTTATAGTTAAAACTTACGTATACATTAGTAACTTTGACAAAACAATTGCTGGCTTAAATAATTTTCTTTTCAAGCGTTTCAGCTTGCATATGACATTAAATGAGATATGTGGGTATCTCCCAGTCGAAAAACAGTGGCCCAAAATATAGCTTGACTTTAATTTCCCTGCTTCTCTGCTTTATTTTTTTTTGTGCGTGTTGTGTAAACGGCAAGATAATCATAAAACATAGCATTGCTCAAATAATTGTACTTCATAAGAGACATAACAGAGACACAGAGGGGGGGAGGGGTGGGGGTGGTGTAGACGGGGAGGTATGAGACCGAGCCAAGTTACAGTCAGTTTTCCCATGATTGTTCTGCTGCCTGGGTAATTATGGGTCACTTTTTTACTCAATCTTTCTCTCTCCTTTCATTCCGCAATTATCATACTTACCTGCAACTATGTACCAGGCAAAGCTAAAGGCATAAAGCCAGAATCAAGAGAGACGAAAAAAAAATTAATGATGCTTTCAACATTTCACTAGACAAAAGAACCAACTTGTGCCCGAACTTGGGAGTTTGAGTGCTTGAGTGCAGGTAGCGGTGCTTGGCTTTTGGCCAACGAACACAGCCCACCTGGCCGAAAAAGTACAGCTACGACAGCGAGTGGCAAGAACGGATGAACGGATGGCTAAGGAGGAAATCTCATCATCATTACGATGATTATGGCCGATGAAAGCCTCGATTTCAATCAAGAGTCCAAGAATCAGAGCGGCAACCGGTAGCAACTTCAAAAATCAGCAGGGAACGAAGACCCATTAGCCCTGAAAGCATTCCTGGCCCGGAAGCCCATCGAGAATTGCTAAAATGTAACTGCTGGCCAGTTGATTGCTATAATTCCACTCAAATTGAATGGCGAAAACAGAGAACGCCCGCTAAAGCTAACAAAAAAAACCCTTTTTTTACCCATCGACAATGGGGCGTAATTAGTTCTAATTTATTTATTGCTCAATTAGGTAAAGGGCTTCGAGTTGGCAGCTCGATGATATAAGCCTTTCGGGCTTGATGATATAACAACAGCTTGAGTTGAGTTAGCCGCAGGCCTGTTATCTAATCTGATCTACATGGGACCACATCTAGTCATGAATGTTTCAATGGAAGAACAACCTCGACAGGCAAAAAACAAAAGATTTTTATTTCTGGGCACCAGAATGTGAAAAATTACGCGTGCGAGGAACAGTTATGCAATCATACATTTAAGTTTATTGTTTAGTTTTTTCTAGTTAAGCTGAATGCTTGAAAGATGGTATAGAAACTTCAAAACCCTATTAATTTTAATTGGTATGCTTCACTAACTCAAATAGCTAGAAGTTCTGATTGGGCACCTTTATAACATAATTTAACAAAATCCAAGATAATTATAAGCCTTGAATGTGTATCGTATCTTATCAATACTTTTTGGAATTTATCACACCAATTTGTTCCTGCCTTTTTTAATTGCAGCAACTAGGTAGCCAATTATTGAGCTACCACATCAATCAATTTAGGTCATATTCAATCAAGGTGTCGTCACGAACTGCATTGGAATTTTCCATCTTCGGAATGCACAGCTAAAATTGACTTTATTGCTTTTCGAACTGAAAAAGCACGTAGATTGCCCCCTCCATCGCCCTTTTTTCCATGTGCCATTTGTCGTTGTCAATTTTATTCATAGAGCTAATTAAAAATGGCACTTTAATGCAGTTGCGACCAACCTTTTCTAGACGCGTTGCCATCTAAGTACACACACGCACAACTCTTGTGTGTAAATGTTAAGGTGGATCGTTTTTAATAAGCAAAAAAATACACTATTTATTATCTTTTATTACTAATGGATTAATGTAGGCTAAAACTTGATTTTATAAAAAATATTCAAGAAGTTAATGTGATTTTCTAACCTATCTAATGAATATCTTGAATTCATCAAAATATCAAATGTTTCTACATCACCTTCGACATTTTAACTTTTTTTATTGAGTGTATCTGCATAATAAAATCTAAATCTCGCTGTTCTAATAAACTGCACATTTAGCATTTCATTGTTCTTCAAAAACTATTTATAATATATACAGAAAATATAGTTATTAATTATGCATAAGTTTTTACTATATCGATCCACCCTATTATATATCTATATACATTGTTTATTTGTGTGTGAATATTCGTATTTATATGCAGAAACCAAGTGAAGACAAAACGTTTCGCAGGCGACTGTAAAAGTTGGAGGCCCCAAAGAAATTGGCACGAGCTGAGCACACGTCCCGAGTTGGGAGATGGAGTTGGAAATGGAGTTGGAGATGGGGTCTCGGGATCGGGATCGGGATCGGGATCGGGATTGCGATGGGGATGTGGATGGGGGTGTGGATGTGGATGTGGATGGGGGCATAGCCCGAGATCTGGTTGGGTTGGGGTACAGTTTCTGGCTCAGCATTTTACGAGCACACATATGGCGAATCCGAATCGCGAATCGTGAATTGCCAACTGCGAAATGCGAAGGGGAACCCGTTTTGTGGGCTGTTTTGGGGCGCGTAGGCGCTCGACACACGCCCATTTGGATGCTGGAGGAGCGCGTGTGCAACGTGCCAACATCTGGAGACGGATCCAGTTTGCAGCCAAGAGCCAAGAGGCAAGAGAACCCAGCTAAAGCTCTGCACAGTAGCCACGGGCCCAAGTCCGACCTGGGCGCAAGATAATCGATGTATACTAATTATTTGCTTTGGCTGCAACTGTTTGTCATGCTCCGCTCAGTGGCTGTACATCTGGGCATCACAGTCGCACATTGCCGGTACAGCAAAAACAAAAAGCCCCACAACTTCGATCCGGCCGACGGTAGCCAACACCCCAAAGAAAAAAACGAGCGCGGACGATGGACCCGTGGATTCACACTGTCAGAAACATTAAATATATTTGTCGAAGAAATTAGTTCATAAACAACCAAGAAATGTCTGGTTGCTGTTAAAAAATAGGTAGAATTCTGAAATCTGCAAGTAGTAAGTCTTTTTATACCCTTGCAGAGGGTATTATAATTTTGGTCAAAAGTGTGCAACGCAGTGAAGGAGACATCTCCGACCCTATAAAGTATATATATTCTTGATCAGGATCACCTCCTGAGTTGATATAGCCATGTCCGTCTGTCCGTCTGTCCGTCTGTCCGTCTGTCTGTCCGTCTGTCTGTCCGTCTGTCTGTTTCTACGCGAACTAGTCTCTCAGTTTTAAAGATATCGAATTGAAACTTTGCACACACCCTTCTTTCCTTTGCACGCAGTATATATGTCGGAACGGCCGGGATCGGCCGACTATATCCTATAGCTGCCATATAACTGATTGATCGGAAATGCCATAACTTTGGTGTTTGTAAAGTTAGGAAGTTTTAATTTTCTACGGGTTTTATATTTGACCAATCAATCCGACCTACCAAATTTCATAAGGATCGGCCGACTATATCTTATAGCTGCCATATAACTTATTGATCGGAAGTGCCATAACTTTGGTGTTTGTAAAGTAAGGAAGTTAGGATTTTCTATGGGTTTTATATTTGGCCAATCAATCCGACCTACCAAATTTCATAAGGATCGGCCGACTATATCCTATAGCCGCCATATAACTGATTGATCGGAAATGCCATAACTTTGGTGTTTGTTAAGTTAGGAAGTTGGGATTTTCTATGGGTTTTAT